ATTAGCAATTGGAGCAACAAAAATAATGCTAGGCTCGCCACGAAATAAACCATATCATACCTCATCATCGGTGTCGCTAAACTCCCTACGGCATCCAAATGGCAGATACACTTTCAAGTGACCAGCAATGTATTTGTCAGTGCTGCTGGGGTGCTTCATATCAGGAGATCCGTTGTTGGTACAACCATAGCAGCAACCTTTATTAAACACAAGGAGAGAGTTAACTGACGAGTAACAAGCCAGTAGAAGCAAGAGTGCATGAACCGGTTTGAGATGTTATAAATGCAAATCCAAGTTTAACCCACAAATTGCATTAAGCAATTCTTAATTTCAGATGTGAATATATATGGAATACCGTTATCAGTCGGTTTGAGCATGCAGAAACAGCTGACCACCAATTCTTCATGTTGTCCCTGTCGCACACGTTTAATTTCCGCGAAGAATAGATCGCCGACGCCATGGGGGACACCATCAGCTCCTTTAGCCCTTGTAGTGATATTGAGATGATAGTACCACACGCGGTTCTTACAAATTGATTGATATTGCACAACGTCTTTGAGCTCATTTGCAAGATCCTAAAATGAGAAGCATGACTCAGATGAGCAACATGAGCAAAAAGACATAGTGCAACCCTGGTAGCAGGACAGAAAAAGGAAGTAGAGAGTGATAGTGAGCAGACCCCCAAAAGATTGTGATTCTCGTTATACTTGTCTACTAAAGCTTGAGCCAATAGGCACATCCGATTATGGCTTTGCTCAACCACATGAGATTTTGAACGCTTCTTCCTTCTGCCATCAGGCCAGTAAAGACATTGTTGTACGACCTTATCCAGTCGAGAAGCGCTGCCTTGCTCCGGGCACCTAGTTTAGATCAGAGCATTGGTTGGTATGTTGCACTTTCTCAGTACTGGAAAAAACAAGGCATGTTATGTAAGTACTCTGCCAATGTTACAGGTGAACTAGTTTCCATGGAACTTTCTTGGATAGGAAGGGATCAAACAGCTCCCAAGTTACCTTTATAGCATAACTCATGGTACAAAAAACAAACACAACTGGATTGGTTACATGCCTATAAGCTCTGAATCAATAAACTTAGTTGTGCCTGAAAGAAAGGCATCCCTATCCCCAACTCAGTGAGCTCTTACCACACTGTTTTGACTAGTTAATGTGACTTAACGTCATGGCTGTAATCATTGTTGTTTAGTATGAGGAAACAGACCTGTTTGAGTGTGCCTGGCTCAATGCTAACCAATTGTACAAAAGTGCACTTTGCTAATTTTCAGCTATGCACAGGAAACTAACCTCACAGATAAAACACCACCAACAACTCTCTCACTGACAGTAAAAAAAGAAGAAGCTCTGTTAACTTTGAGTGGCCACGAAATTTAATTAACTAACTAATCCAGCCTGGTATTTTCCTACAATCAACTTGTGAGCTTTTCAGTAGTCCAGCTTAGGGCCATTCATTACATTCCTTGACAAATGTGATTATCTTCTGTGGCCTACATCCTAGAAGCATGTGTATGTGCACGAAAGAAGGGAGATACGAACCAGAATGAAGTCGAGAAACCTTACATTTTGGTGACCCGGCGATCATGCAGATGGCGATCAATAGCATTGTCAGCTTCCTGCAAGCTCTTGAATGGCCCGCCCAAATGAGGATACGTGTGGAAAGATCCTGAAAGATCCACCCTGATGTAGAATTGGAGCCCC